CCTACAGTGTAAGTTCAAGTTTTGAGACGCATAACGTGGTAGTTCACCCAGGTAGAGGTGACATCCATGTAATTGAACTTCTTGTAGTGGAACTACCATCTAGGTCTGAAAAAAATAATACATTTAGTTGAAAACTTGCATTTTCAGGATTTGGAGGGAAAAAAGTGCTGTCATTTTTGTTTTAAAAAAACCACCGAGCCCCTCATGTCTAAAGATGTTTCCCAGTAACTTTAGTTCACTAATTACCAGGCTGCTTATGTTAGATCTCTACTCTTAGTAAGCAGCTGTTACTTTCTATGAATCAAGGAAAGCATGGAATTGTTGGTCTAGAAATACTGTGTATGTATGAAAAAAAAATTGTTTAACATTTCATAGGTCAATTTTGCTCTTAGTTTCCAGTTTGCTTATTTTGAAGCCATACTTTTTGACACTTTAAAAATTGACGTCACTGCCAGAATGAGTTTTGTGACCTTTAATGTACAGTATTTTGCTCTAGGCTTAAAATATTATTTAGGTTCAAATTCTCATCCACAAATAAATGTCTTACACTTCCTTGTTATATAATATTTTGTATACTAAGGACGATTAATTCGATCCCTGCAAATTCTGTATGTGACCAAGTTACTATTAAATACTTGATATTACTGTACCTGCTTTACAAATAAAAACATTTTCATTACAGATGAAAAAAATGAGTCAGACCGGTGCTGTAGCTTGATGTGGCAACTTTCTGGAGAGCACTAGCTAAACAGTGCCTATCCTGTGCCATTTTCCTGTTTTTTTTTTTTTTTTTTTAAATTATTGTTTCATTTTTTTGCCCATAAATAACTCATTTCAGTTTCTGGGTTCATAATACGGCTCACCAGTCAGTTTACTGGCAAAGCTGAGCTGGTGTGTCTTGGTATTTAGGAGTAAATGCTTAAGGAGTATTTAAGCTCTTACTGCTCATGAGGGTCAAGTTGTAAAAAGAGACTTAATCTTGTATTGACATGTTCTGATTTGCTTTTGTGAAAGCTTAAATGCTATTTTTTTTGTTTTCTATTTAGGGTGCAATTTTCTTGGAAGGAGTAACAGTAAAATGTGTGACCCAGGTGACAACACAACCAAAGTTAGGAGGAATACAGCAAAAATGTCAGCAGTTCTGTGGATGGGAAGGGTATGAGAACATTTAGAAATTGTTTATTTATACTGTCTAGAGATAAGTGTTTCTGTTTGTTTTTTTTTTCCTAGCAATTTCTAGTTTTTTCAGAAGAAAACAGCTCATTGTAAAAATAAGAACAGGTGACTATTTTTGGATGGATTGTTTAAGAAAAAAAGAAAACCTCAAAAACATTCAATGGTGAAACAGATGAGGATCTTTCATTGTACTGTGAAATGGAATTATCAGCTGTTGACATTAAGAACTGAGATTCTAGAAGTGCTTTTCCATTGAGATAACAAAACCTTTTCAGATGAGTTGTTGCTGTGCAAATCCCAGGTATTTGTGTAATATGTAGTGCTTGCTCAAGCAGTAGACTCATTTATACAACTACTATTACACTTCAGTATTGAGGTATTTATAGCCAACTTGTTTTTATAGCCAACTTGGATTTGTGTCCAGTGTTAATGAGAATGCTGGTTTTAATGTCTCGGATTCTGAACTCTCCCTTTCCAAAGCTGATGATCCAGATTGATGCTCGCAATGCTTCCTAACTTGCTGATGTTCATAGTTCTTCTAGTACATGTAATTTTGAATTCAAGTATCTTTTCCTCCAAAGTTAAAACTTTGAAGTTCCACATAATTTAGTGTGCTGTCATAAGCAAATACACTTGTTCTTATCAAACAGGCATGTGATTCTTCTTGCAAAATACCTTATTGGAAAAGATGTTCTAACTCAAAGTTAACCGTGCAGCATGTCTGGTACAAGTGTGACTTCAGTCTAGTGTCACACAAGGCAATGCATTTTTTACTATTGCAGGACACTAATAAACACGGTTCTTGTTTCTGTAGGTCAGGATTCCCTGGAGCACAGCCTGTTTCCATGGACAAACAAAATATTAAATTTTTGGAGCAGAAGCCGTACAAAGTTAGCTGGAAAGCAGACGGCACTCGGTAAGTTCCTTTTAAATGAAAAAGAAACTCAGTAAATTGGGTAGGCAGCTTGTATTTTCCAAGGAAAGTGAATTTGCTTGTACGAAGGACAAAGCATATTCTGACAGCAAAACTGACTCCAGAGATTAATTTTTTGCTCTCTTGGTACCCAACATTTGCTGAAGTTTGTGGCCAAGTTTCTTTTTAGCAGCTGTGCTGCAGACTGGCCTAAATGTATGTACTTTTATTCTTCTCCAAAACCCTTGCCTGTCTGTCAGCCAAGACTTGCCACAAGGCCTTAGAACAATCTTAGGTAACAGTAGAAGTTTGTTAAGCTAAGTAATGTGTTTATAAAAGCTAAATTAAAATTTCTAGTTGATTCTTCAGAAGCTGGCTAGTATTAGAAATGTATTCATACTGTGATCCTTTGTTCAAACTTGTAGTTCTGGTCAGCCAAAGAGTCAGTAGTTTCATCTTCCCTTACCAGTTCTCTTACATTGATTGTAGGCATGACATTTTTGAGTAACAGACTACAACCTGATTGAATCGATGTGTAGAATCACAGAATGGTTTGGGTTGGAAAGGACCTTAAAGATCATCTAGTTCCAACCACTCTGCCATGGGCAGGGTCACCTTCCACTAGACCAAGTTGCTCTTGAGTGTTGTTATTACTGATTTGAAATGCATGCTTGCATTTGATTTCTCCAGTATTCTCATGTTAGCATTTCAAAGTAGGAGAAACTCCACACATCATCAAACACAGAATGGCAGAACACTTTTTTCTCTGCTTGTAACTGGTTATAGATTGGTCTCAACTGCATGAAAATCAGTAGTCTAAACATGGGCATCTGGTATCATCAGGTGTCATTTCATTGCTTTGTCTCATATGAAAAAGCCATGTCATATAGGGTCTCTTGCCTTTACACTCAGCAGCTTGGATGAGATAGAGAAAGTATTTGCTATTCACATTTAAATAAAACACCAAATGTGAGGTGCCCTCTTTCCTTGTACTCTTGCAAAGAGGTACTGTGGCTCTTCTTACAAACAAATCTTTCTTGATCATCATCAACGGAGATTGATACCCTAACCTTCTGCTTTTCTTCAGTATTTCTGGTTTCAAAATTAAAATCCAGAATCCCAGATATTTTTTTTAATAATTTATTATATTTTAATCTATACTACTCATACCATACAGATCACAGTCTTCCTTTTTGTTGTGGGTGCTACCTTCATGTAATTAATAATGTAATTTCTTACATTATAGTCAGTAGTGTTTCAGTAACCGGAAGAATGTAAATTGTGTAACACATTCATTTCAATAGCTTGCTTTTTATTTCTGAAAGATGTTTGTTGCATATAGTAGTATTTAAACATTTCTAATCTGTGCTAAGCAGAATGACTATTTTTTATTCACTTAGAACAGATAAATAGGGTTTTAACCTGCTTTGACTTTGTCAGATAAAATGCAATTACAATTAATGTACACACAGTAAGAGGAGGACTGTTGTGCTCACTTGTGTGTGATGATTTAGACTAGCAAGGTTTAAATATTTACACATATTTACATGTTAGAAGGATCAGGTATGTGGATGAAATGTAAGCTTTCAAAAACAGGAGGTAAGAATTTTTGTTTGCAGGCTGGTGGAGTTAAAATACTGGTTTTGTGTGTAGATATGGTGGAGTATACTAGATACTGAAAATCCTGGAAAGTATGGAGAATTGGGGTCCTGCAAGAATTACCAAATGATTCCACATGAAATCAGCCAGGATTCAGCACAGTTCAGAATACAGGACAAGCTGTGTCCTAGGAAAAAACCCCAAACCCTTCAGGTGTCTCTTATCTGTGGACTTCAGGGATTTATTAGCTTGGTCAGTGCATGGTGTGAAAATACAAAATAATCTTGCCTTCAATATGGCATGCAAGCATTAAGAAATGGGTGGGAATATTTGGCTTATTAGCACTGTCTGGTTGTATACATGAGCACTTGGGTAACGTGCTGCAGGCATTCTCAGGGGGTGAGGTTACAGAAGCATCGTGTTGGGAGATACAGGCTTATTCACAGAGCAGTACAGTGCATTCAAATGCTGCTGAGCCTAAACAAGTAAAATCAGCCAACTTAAACTGACCTGAAGAGTGTTTCTGTGTCATTTAAATTTTTCATTTGGAAAATTGAAGTCTTATGAAGTATTTTTATTTTCTTATTCAAATGTACAGGATACATACATTCTGAATACTAGAATAATTATATAGAAAATTGTTGTGCACCTGGAAGACTGTCTTTTGTGAAGGAGATTAGAGTGCACATGTAATTTCTTGTAGGAATTTTCAGTATTTTGGGCATTCTGTGCATGTTGTTAGAGTTCTAGAATGGTGACAAACCAGAATGGCTGAAGAATGAAACCGAGGGAACTACATAGTTCTTTTAAATTTTCTCAAAAGATAATAACTTGTAGTTAATTTGGAGATACACAGGCTGATAAGTATATTCAGGGAAAAAAATGGTGCTACAAAGATCCAGTGTTAATGAAATTCAGCTGAAGGAATGTTGTGAAAGAGAGATTAAAGATGAAAACCTTAGCTATTATTTGGACATTTAGACACTGTGCATGATAGCTACCCTAATCAACAATGAAAAATGACTGTCACAGTTTTTGCGTTGGATGTGCTTCTAATTATTTGTTGTTCTCCAATGATCTGGACTCCATATGCGATTAAACAGATTTTCATTAATTATTCTGAACACTTGAGTTGACAGGCGTGACCTTCCTGAATTTAATATTAAGACATCAGTTAGTGGAGATCCATTTGTGGATCCCCTGCTTATTTTATCTGGAGATGAACCCCCTGCCATCAGATTATCTCTGAAACTATTCTGTTAAGTGTGGTTTAGATGCAGCAGTCTAGGGTCTGCCTATTACAATATTCTTTGTCTTACATACTTTGTTTTGTTTTGTTCTTTCTGTTTGGCTAAAAAAGCACTGTTTCATCAACCTGATTGGACTTACAGAAAAGCAGATGCTTAGTTAATAGCTTTATATTACACTTCTCACTTAAATAAAATGTTCTCATCTCAGTTAATAGCAATATTTACTTAACTTAGCCAAACTTCTTAAATTTCACCATTGTTAAATACCTTCATTTTATTCCTGCAGCAGTCTTTTTCTAGAGGTTTCATGGCTGAAGCCTTTATTTGTAGACTGTTTTAACTGGCATGTAGTGTTAGTAATTTCATTGTGGACTTTTGCCTTTCTCCAGAGGCATCTGCTATCCTTAGATTTCAGCTGGAGCTGAACTTTCACCCTCCTGGTTCAGGAGCTGTGGTGGTCGTGTTTTTTCGTTTGGTTTTTTTTGATTGTTTTTCAGTGGTTGAACAGTGCATGTTTTCTTGCTCTCTTAGCATTATTATAGTTTTCTACCCTTAGTTCTGGAAGAAAAAAGAAATCTGTAGATGAAGGAGCATTACTTAGCATCTTGCATTGACTGAATAATGTGAAATTGCTTACTTAAATTATTTGACGGTGATCCTATAAAACATTTTGAGGAAATCTCCTGGAGCAGTATTTTACACGCTTTTGTAAATGTGTGGGTCTGAGTCTGGTTTGAGTCAAAACTCATCCTCCTCAATTCTCTTGGAGCCCTGAGTTCAAAATCTTTTGACTCACCTTTGCTCAGTCTGTCCTGATTGGCAGTTAGTGTCTACACTTGCTTGTTCAGTGCTTGGTTTCCACAGCCCTTGTCCCATGAGCATTGGCAGGGCACACCAGCTTGTTCTCGCTCCTGCTTTACTTCTGGGGCATGCTCACTCCAAAGAAGGATGAGTGTGAATAGATACTTCTCCCTTCCTGTTTATAAATGCCTGTGTGTAAAGACTTGCATCTCTGGTGTAGGCACATGAACGTTAAAGGAAGCTCGCTTGGTTTTGACTGTCCTTGGAAAATTATTTCCTTTGTGCCGGCTATTTACGTGTATGTAAATATTACATGCAACTCTTACTTTTGAGGAAAAACACCTCTAAAATCATATTGCTTTAAATTATTACTATGAAAATATAAATCACTTATATCTGCAGCTATTCAGACTCATTTGGTGTGAATTCTCTGTATTTATTGGAACAGTTGTCAAACCTCTGGTGTCATAAAAATAATTTTAATGCTATTCATAAGGCACAGAAATCCAAAGGGCAAATTTCCCACTACTAAAATCATTCCTTTTGGCTTCGATGAGATGAAATATATGTTGTATGTTAATACTAGCTACAAGGTATATGCGGCTTTACAAATTTATCCAGTTTTGTAGTGCTGTGTTTCTGAAATACTAGTTGCTCTCTGAATAAGATGATAGTAACAGTATGTTCAAGGCATACTGTATGACTCTGCATTATCAACTTTGTACTGTAAAATGATTAACCCAGGTGGTTAGTGGCTTGCTGTATCCCTTGGTATGTATTTCATTAATACTGTTTGTAGCAGATGCTTGTTCTAATGAGTGGTGATGAATGTTCAGACAGGAATAGGGTTGGTAAAGTAATAAGACATCAATTTTAAGAGGAGAAAAAAAAATAAAAAAAGATTGTTACCATGAAGAATAATAAAAAGCTTTAAATCATCTGTGGAATAATTCAGATTAATTCAATCAAACAGGACTAGGTTTTATAATGGTGAAATGTGACCTGAAGTAGATGCAAGCTATTAAGGGGTGCAAGTTAATATTTTTCATTTGTGTGAGTACCTTTTTATTTTCACATCTGTACACATGCAGTTCTAGTAAAAAATGATAAATATGATAATAATACTATGGCTGTTCAATTATGGTAAGGCAGCTATTTAAGCAAATGCAGGACAGGTAGTTCTTGCCAAAGGCTATTTTATTTGAAAAATATTCATGCAGATTTAATGGCTTGCAGATACTAAATGCAGACTAGATACAGAATGTGAAACAGCTCTCTGCCTATTGCTGTTAATTGTCTAAAAGGTGTTTGTAACAAAATACGAGCATCTCTGAAGTTAGTTATTTTTTTTTT